CGATGGCATCAGGATTCTGCGAGTTTCATATGTAGCCCCTCTTAAAAATCGGAAAATGAAACAAGACATATTTCTGAGGTTGTCGGCAGGTAGACCCACTGGTTCATGGTAAGTAATCTCTCTGGGAGGAAGTCTTGGCTCTGATGTCTGTGTCGAATGATCCCTGGCTCCCCTCAGCCGCCCTGGTGCAGGTCTGTTCGCTGGGTGAGGAGGCGGTGATGATATTGCTTCTAACAACCAGACTGAAGCGTAGCCTCGGGCTGTCTTGCAAAGCCCCCTCCAAACAGCCTCTAATTAATTTTTATCCTGCCATCCCAATGAGTCCCGGGGGTGCAGCAACCCAACAACAAAAACCCTCATCAAGTCTTCTGGAGGAAGCTTTGACGTAACACTTGCAGACTTTAGATCTCCAAAAGAGACGGCTGCAGAAGAAAATAAGAAAACCTCCTCCCTTTTAGCCGCCTCCACCCTGCTTGATTCCCCCAGCCCCAGCTTCTTGCCCCCCTCCCCCCCGCAGTGGCCACAAGCTAGATCTTTCTCTAACTCTCTCCCTTCCGTGGTTCTTTCAGAGAGATCCCTGGAGCTCTATTTTTTTGCAGCTGGAGGAGAAACCCAGATTCTCTGGGGTCTGAGGTCAGATACCTGCATGGGGCTACTACTGAGGGGTCCCCAGGGACCCCGAGAGGCAGGAAGAGAAATCTGATGGCCTCTCTGCCTTGAAGCCACTCTGGGCCGGGCCTTCTACTGCAAACACTCTTCAGCAGACACAACGTTAGAAGCAGAGGGAAGGTTCCGCAAAGAGGCATCTTACCCACAGACCGCATCAAAGCTGCGGCATCCTGGGGCCTCCCCTTCCGAGGGCGCTACAGGCCAAAGCTCAGTCGCCATGCCTGGCTCTTAGTGACAGGGGTCCGTGCAAAGCCCCCAAAGGCCTCCAGTTAGGTTGCCTTCCATATTTCCAGGGGATTTGGGCAAAGGGGGTCCCTTCCACCCTGGCCCTGTTCCATTCACCTGGCACATGAGCTGCCCTTGTTACCTTCCCTCCAGCTCGGGGTGTGATGCCTCCTGGGCTCAGATCTCCCCGATCTCCTTCCCAAACACCTTAACCCCCACCGCCCTTTCAAAGCCTTCGCAGCCCCTCTGTGTCTACTCACAGGGCTTCTCTTAGGACCTCAAAATGAATTACAATTTAGCAATAGCGACTGTTTGAAACGATGCATTCAAAGGTGTTGCAACCCAAACCACCCGATGCCTGGCTTCCTGGGATTTTGAGACAAAAAGATTGAGTGACTACTATTCTCTTTCTGAGGACCCAACAGAGGAGGCTGATCCAAAGCCAGCCAAAAGGGTGTTAATTTCATGATCGCTGGGTGCCAAAGAAATTTCCTTGGGACCTGCTTGACTCCACTCCTCCTGAGAAATGGATCATTGTTTCTAATGAGTTTGCGCAGTCTGGCTCCTTTAGAAGAGTTAATAGCAGAATCACAGGCCTAAAAAAGAGCTCTTTGACAGTTCCTCTGTACCAGGCCCAAGGAGTGAGAGCTGATCCTATTTTTGAAGATGCCCGTGGAGCCCTGCTCCAGTGACTAATCGTTCGTAATTGTCCTCTTTAATTTTAACCTCATGCGCTAGTGCTTTAAACAGCAGACTTCCGTTTGTGCCCATCCTCAGAGAAGGTAGAAAGCATTGCTCATCATAGGAACAGGGCTACTCATTTCCTCCTCCTCTGCTTTTCCTGTCTCCTTCCATGGCAGCGTGGCCCAGTGGCAGCCAGAAAATATTGGACAGTGCACCCATCTCAGCCTGAAGTCTGTATTTTGAAACTTACTAACTGTGCTATGAAACCTCAGTTTTCTGGACTGAGCAACTGAACAAGTAATAGCTGCCTTGTCAGGTTGATTTGAGGATTGAGTGAGATAACAGAAAGAAAGTGCTTTGCATTTATTTGCTCAGGGTGGTACCTACGATAACCCCCCCACCCAGTTAAAAGATGCCCCCTAGCTGGGACTTGTGGTACATGCCCATGGTCCCAGTTATTCCAGAGGGAAGCAGAGCCAGGAGGGAGGCAAGTTCAAGGCAACTTAGTGAGACTTTGCTGCAAAAAATAGTGCTGGGGATGTACCTCAGTGCTAGCATGCTAGCCTAGCATGTGGGAAGCTTGTGGTGCCATTCCCAGTCCAAAAAAAAAAAAAAAAAAAAAAAA